AAAGAAGAGCTTTCCATAAACCTTTAAAACAGTATCACATGCCATCAGCCAAAGTACCTGTTTTGTATTTTCGATCCAACTGTATTATTTAGAGTCATTTTTTCTTATATGAATGAGAGTATTTTTAACTGGTTACTCGCAGTTATTTTTAGTAAAAGATTTATCATATTATATATGATATTATTGAATGTGTAAGTGATCTTCAAAGATGTGGATGAGATAACACATAACGAGGTATTAGGTAGTAACAGCATAGATCTGTAGGGCTTGGCATACACTAAGATACTGCCTCATCTAACCCCCGCATTTGCAAAGCCAAAATGTGGCCCAAAGATTTTGAAGGCTTATAGGGTCAGGTGATTTCCATCTTGAGGTAAAAACTGACTTAGGGGCACCTGAGTGGCTCAGTGGGGTAAGTGTCTAACTCATGATTTTGGCTCAGATTATGATCTCAGAGTCCTGAGATCAAGCCTGGCGTTGGGCTCCATGCTGGGCATAGAGCCTGCCCAAGATTCTTTCTGCCTCTCCCTCTGCCCTTCCTCACCCTCTCTCTCTCCTCTTAAATACCTCTTAAAACAAAACAAAGCAAAGCAAAGCAAAGCAAAACCTGACTTAGTGTGAGGTCCCTGTATTCCTGGATCTATCTTCTTTCCAAGTGCACCTCTCAGTTGGAAATAGAATTGATCCTGCTGTTAATGCCGTGATTAGGTTTGAGATAGGAAAGGAGCATTTTAGCTATTTTCATAAACTCACCGTTTCTTCCTTTTGGAAATCCTTTTTAATTGGTGACATTATGTAGTTTCTACCTGACTGGTCAAACCACTGCTTTCTTCATTGCTTTATACTCAAAACACTGGGATGGTATATGCCAAGCCTCTCTAGTTTTTCTTTGAAGACTTTCTGACAAAGCAGAAAAAAAGAGGTGATTGACGTTCAGGGGGATAAGTAAGAAGATAATTTGGTGGGTGTGAGGGTGGATTTTGGATGCGGGCAGCATGACTGGTGGTTAAGAATACAAATTCTGGGGGCTCCTGGGTGACTCAGATCATGATCCCAGGGTCCTAGGATCGAGCCCCACATAGGGCTCCCTGCTCCCACCCCCTCCTTGTGTTCTTTCTGTGTCTGTCTCTCTTTCTCTGTCAAAAAAAAAAAAAAAAAAGTACAAGCTTTGGATCTCAAGTCCCACCTCCACTCCTGCCGCGCTGTGTGTCCCCAGCCCATTCTTCTCTTTCTTTCCCAGTGTACTCACCTAAAAAACAAGCAGAAAAGTAGATATTCCTTATACTGCTGTTAATATGAGTTAATATGTCTGAGTACTTAGAATGGAGATTATCATGCATTAAATTCCATCTAATTATTACAATGTGTTAATGGTGGTCTGCTCACAGTCTAGAAAATAGAGAGAAAGTACAGTGGTCTTCAGATATTTGGAGGGTTCTCATGTCAGCGAAGCAGGGGACACACCCTGGGAGCTCCGGGAACGGTGACTGCTAGTTAGGACAGCAAGCACTGTTTCCGTTGTTCGTGGAAGAAATACGGCGTCTCTGAAGTTGTGAATACCTTATCATTAGTGGGATTCCCGCAGATCTGGATGTGAAATTTTTATAAGCATTTAAAGCATTCTCATTTTATAGTGAATTTTTAAAAATTAATAATCACACTATTGGGAGGGATAAGTCCGCCAGGCCCCTCTCCATTGTCGCCCAGCGCGTCAGGCCGCAAAGCACATACGCTTAGTCGCGCAGGCCGTCAGGCAGCTCAGAGGGACCACGGAGCAAACACCCAAGGAAAAGCACTGGCTTTTCTGCTGCTTGGGGCAGCGTTTGCTTCTTGCTGGAAAGAACACTCGACTCCTGGCCAGGTTTCTCTCCTGCAACACAACCCATGGCACGTGTACGCATCCGCGTAGATTCCCCCGAGCTGGCTCTTCTGACCTACCACCGTGGGACACTGTCAAACATGAACCTCTGGGTACCATGTGTGCCATGAGTCACAAACTCTTTGATCTCATATCCAGGCATCTCTTGTCTTCCACGCCTCTCCATGAAATGGTGACTCCTAACCTGTTAGTCTGTAAACACAGCAAAATCCTTGAAGCTTCACAGTGCTAAGCCCTTCATGTGTCTCACGCTAGAAATCCCTCAGTAGAGCCTTTCTCACAGATTGGTTTCAGAGAATGCATCTATAATGCGCTCTGTCTCTCATCAGCAGGCCTCTTCTCACCTACTTCAAAATCTCCCATTGGGTAAAACTTCATCATCCAGACCTCAAGACTTCACATTTCTGTAAATATGTCCTTTAGCTATTCCTCAGGCCTTTCCCTCAACCCCAGCACTCACATAGCCCATTCACTGGTCTGATTTTATCCACGCATTTCTAGACTCAGTGGTACGGCTGGAAGATAAGGCCCAGAGATGGCCACAAACAGTGAGACCTTGTGGTTACTGGAAGAAGCCCTTCATTCCTCTCTTCCTCCCCTATGAATGTTAGTCTACCCAATCATTTACATTTCTATAGACAGCAACAGGAGGTTGAAATAAAAAATTCATTTGTCATGACATAAAAACATCAAAATAAATCTAACAAATTATTTGCAGGACTTTAATGCCAAAAGTTACAAAATACTGAGAGAAATTAGTGATCAAAATAAATGGAGAGAGGTGCTGTGCTTCTGGATGACAGAATTCAACATTGTTCATGTGTAAATTCTCCCCACATTGATTTATCAGCTGAGCAGAACGCTAATCAAAGCCCCAGTAGGCATGTTTATAAACACTGACAAGTAGATTTTAAAATCTATATGAAAATGCTAATGATCCTGAATAGCTAAAACTAAAGAAAACCAAGCTGGAGGTGTCAGAGTACTTGGTTTCAAGCCTTAACTGTGCAGGTACGTTAATCAAGACTATGTGATATTGGTGTAGACTAGACCGTTGTATCAACGGAACACAATGGAACATCCCCAAATAGACCCACACTTATATCACTGGTTGAATCTTAACAAAGATTTATCCTAGATAAATGGCTGGGGAAAGATGTTCTTTTCAAAAATGATGCTGAAACATTGGGATAGCCATATGAAAACAGAACAGACCCCAACTTGTACATAGCACCATATGCAAAAACCACTCACAGTGTATCGTAGACCCAAATGTAAAGCACACAACTATAAAATTTCTGGAATAAAACCTAGGAGAAAACCTTTTTGACCTTGGGTTAGGAAAAGAATTTTTAGATAAGACACAAGAAGCCTAAGGCATAGGCGCAAAAAAAAAAAAAAAAAAAAAAAAGTCTTTGAAACACACTGTAAAGAAGATAAAAAGGTAAGACACAGACTGGGAGAAGATATTTACCACATATGTACCTGACAAAGGACTTGAAACCAGAATATATGAAGTCAGTATTCTGGCAATGAAGGTTTGAACTCACAGTTTACCAGAGAAGAGATTCTCATGTCGGATAAGCACATTAAAATGCAAGTTTGAAACCATAGTGAGAAGCCACTAACATCCCTACTAGAACGGCTGTAAGAAGAGAGAGAGAGGTGTTGGCAAGAACGGGAAGCCAGGAGAATGCCCACGCGCTGCTGGTGGGAACGCCACTTTGGAGACAGCTTGGAGTTTCTTCTAGGTTTCTAACCAAGATGAAGGCAAGCACGTGTCTGCTCAAACACCTGCATGCAAATGTGGACAGACGCTTCACTCATGCTTGACGACAACTGGATGAGCCCAAACATTCCTTGAATGGAGAGCCCAAGTGTAGTGTGCCCCCAGGAGACCACCACTCAACGCTGAAAAGCAAACCGTTGTGTATAAAGCAGCGTGAATGCGCTCGAAAGCACGTATTAAGTCAGCGAAGGCAGATGCAAACAGCGGCTCGCTCTATCATCCTCTAAACGACAGTTTGGAAAAGGCAAAACTACAGTGAACAAAGTAATAATCAGTGTTTGCAAGGAACAGGAGGCAGGGGGAGACGGTGGGTTCCCCCGAGCAGGCAAGAGGAGATGGTCGGGAGTGATAGAAATCCTGTATATTCCTGGTGACGTGGGTTACACGCGCCCATATTTAACCGCGTGTAACTCTATGTGTATCTGACATAGACACGTACAGCATGGCCATCCCCACATGGTGGATAATACCTTAATACACCTGAATTTTTTTTAAACCTAAAAGTACATTTAAGCATTAATTAGAATCACAAGTGCTATTATAGAATACATGAAATAATTCGTTTATGCGTATTTCGCTTGATTAAATATGTATGTATTTCTGCTCGTAGGGTAACATTTAGGGAAATGCTTTTTTAAATCTTACTATTACAAACTGTTACAATGCAAATTAAACTTTTAGATTGTGCCTATTTTTTTATGGACGTTACATAATAGTGGCTTTCTTTTGGCAATGATGTCTACAGAATGACAACAAAAAATGAAGTAGCTTTTATTTTTTTTTTGCCCAGTTTGAGCTGTAATGAATGAAGTAATGAGTTATCGTCTGCAATATTGGAATCCTTGAGCACATCATTCCTCTCTAATGCCCCTGTTATTATTTTGTTACAAACTCTAAATATTGCCCATGATTCCATAACATATTTTAAGTTGTATATGAGCAATATTTTAATTAATTGTGTAATTTGTGCCTTCGCTTGTTTGCACTCACTTTCACATCTAAATGTCCTGCTTAGCTCAGTCATGCGTTCAAGCTTAGCTCATAAATTGCTTATTGATTCGTTCCCTACAGTCCTATCTACATTTGTAAACATTTTCTTTTCAAGTTGAAGTGAATATATTTTTCTTTTAAAGTTGAGATTGAATGGAAGTTAGAACGAATAGAAAAGTTGACAGATTCCCTATTGATTGTTTATTCCCCCTCTGTGTTGAGAAATGGTTTCTTATCTGAATAAAACAACATCCCATAACCAAACTGTCCTGTTGTGGTCCTTCTTGATTAATATGGCAATGTTAGCGGAGGACTAACTATAGTATTGATTATTTTCTGTAGCAGTCCCCTGGCGTTGCCGATTGCCAAGCAAGACAGTATGTTGGAGAAAGACATTATGTTCAAAGATGCCACGAAATGTCTATGCAAGAGACAGTCTCAAGACAGCATCCCTGAAAATGCTGCTGTGAATGGCCCCACACAACCTGAACCAGTAAGTATACCTTTACTTCATGCCTGTTTATTACATCATGCTTTAAAATCCAACATTTCGAAACCAAACACCCCACAATTTCCATTCAAAGAAAGATTCATGAATGCAAAGGTTAATAGTTTTTTAAATTCCCATATATAAGCTGTTACATTTTACCGACCATGAGCAAACGTAGCTGCTGTTGCGCTGTACAAGGGTTTGAATTGTACATTTATCTTGACTTACATATCAGGAACGTAAGCTTGGCCGGTACGCTAATTCCCCAGTATTTCCGATTATGTCTTTAGTCCTCCTTTTGATTATTATGTAGAGTATGGTTTTTGGAAGTATCTCTCGATGTGTACTGTGTGTGTGTGTTGGGGAGGGGGTAATGTGTGTGCCACAGTGCCCAGGTTATGGGAGATCAGTCTGATGAGCTTGGGGCTATAGAAAATAGTACATTTCCCTAGAGAAATAAATGATCTTTAAATGCTTCATGTTTTATAAATGGCAGAGTAATTTTATAAATGGCAGAGTAATCCTTGAAACTGGTTTGTTTCACGGTATCTAATTTTGAATATATTAAAGACGTTTTAGCTAGGTTTTTCTAAGACCATCTTTTCAAGATTTAGTTTCATTAATTTTGTTATTTCAACATAACGAATAAACATGTTTTGTAATTTTGAGATACTTTAAAATTTCAGCGGGTGTATTTGTCATCTTAGGCGACTGTAGCAAACGCCACACACTGGGTAGCTTAGACGGCAGACGCTTATTCTTCACAGTTCTGGAGACTTGAAGTACAAGGTCAAGGTGCCAGCTGGTGAGGTTTCTGATGAACGTCCCCTTCCTGGCTGCTTTCTCCCTGTGTCCTCACATGGGGGTTGAGCGGGGGAGGAAACAGAGGAAGGAACTGTCCTGTGTCTCTTAGAAGTGTGCCAATCTGATGGGACCAGGGCCCCACCCCTGTGACCTCCTCTAACCTTCATTGCCTCCTTAAGACCCCATCTCCAAAGAGTCACATTGAGAGCCTCCACACATGAATTTGGAGGAAAGCAGCTTAGTCTGCTGCAGTAGGCCAATTAAATGTTAGGTAAGATGGAAAGCAAAGTTCTTTCTTAACTTTCTCAAGGGTCCTATGAACTTCCTATAACCTTAAATGCATATTACTGAGGGAAAGAAGCTGGTCTGAAAAGGGTGTACAGCATATGATTCTAGTAATTGACATTCTGGAAAAGGCCAAACCATGGAGACCGTACAAGGATCACAGGTTGCCTGGGCTGGTGTGGGGAGGGGTGGAGAGGTGGAGTCCAGGGGGGTTTTAGGGCATTGAAACTGCTCTGTATGATTTTACAGAGGTGGGTCTATGTCATTCCACATGTGTCTAAAACCCCAGAATGTACAACACCCAGAGTGAGCCCCGATGTACCCCATGGACTTGGGGTGATGGTGACGTGTCCATGGAGGTTCAGCTGTAACAAATGTCGTCATTCTGGTGGGGAGTGTTGATGCTGGAGAAGGCTGTGCACGCGTGGGGTCAGGGGTGCGTGGGAAATCTCTGTCCCTTCCTCTCAGCTGTGCTGTGAATCTAAAACTGCTCTGAAAACTCAAGATCTTAGGGGCGCCTGGGTGGCTCAGTCAGTTAAGCGTTCAACTCTTGGTTTCAGTTCAGGTCATGACCCCCGGGTCCTGAGACGGAGCCCTTCATGGGGCTCTGTGCTCAGTGGGGAGTTTGCTTGAGATTCTCTCTCTCCCTCTGCCCCTCCCCCCAATCACACCACATGCTCTCTCTCTCACCTTCCCAAATAAATAAAATCTTTAATTAATTAATTAATTAATTAATGGTCTTTCTGATTTTAATGTAAGCTCTTTGTAATTATACAATTTATAGCTGCGTCCTAGACCTTAAAGGCAGTTGCGGTCATGTTCAGTTTGGTTGGCACTAAAGAGGGAGCGGCTGTTTTTCAGGTTTTGTGTTCGTACGTTATCGATGGAACATTCGTTGGTTCTCATTGCCCTCTGTGGGCACCGCGGGCCTCTCTCCTTGGCCGTGAGGTGCGTTGGTGATTCTCTCCCAAGGAAGACCACATTATCCACTGACTGAGTTATACTTTAAAAGTGTTTTAGAAAAGTCTCGTCAAAACAAGAACATTCTGGAAAAAACAAAAACAAAAACAAGAACATTCTGATGAACATCTTAGGGAGGCGCACATAATGGAGACATTTTTAAAAAAATTGAAACAAAACCCGCAGAATCTCTCCTTCCAGATTTTTATAAAATGTAGGTTTTATCAAATGGTTACTGTGTGAGTGAATATTTCAAGGCTTGATTTAAACTTTTTTGGGTTTTGATAATCACCAAAATGAACACATAGTATCTCTGAGAAGACAGAATTTTTCTTCAGTTGTCTAAAAGTGTGCAAGACATTCTTCCTTTGATTTCCTTTCCACTCTCCCTTTCCCTCCTTTTCTCCTCCCCCTGCATTCTTCCTTCATTCTAATTGTCTGACTTCTTTCCCCCCTCCCTTCCTTCACTTCCTTCCTTTGTGAATATATTTCTTTAAATTTTGTTCACGCTTGAAATTCCAATTTTTATGCCACTGAGTGAAGGCACATTAGCCTGGGAGTTCAGAGAAAGGCAGATGCTTTGGTTACGTCTGCTGCTGAAAGTCTATGACTCAGAAGTTCATTGACCTCATCAGCTCCATCTATGAAATGGGTACGTGGTATAGGTCTCACAGAGTTGCTAGGAAGCTGACAGAAATGAGGGCTTGAGGTTATCACACATTTACCAAGAACAGTAAAAATGCAGTAAGATGGGGGCGCCTGGGTGGCTCAGTGGGTTAAGCCGCTGCCTTCGGCTCAGGTCATGATCTTGGAGTCCTGGGATCGAATCCCGCATCGGGCTCTCTGCTCAGCAGGGAGCCTGCTTCCTCCTGTCTCTCTGTCTGCCTCTCTGCCTGCTTGTGATCTCTGTCTGTCAAATAAATAAATAAAAAAAAATCTAAAAAAAAAAAAAAGTGCAGTAAGATGTATTTATATTTTCATTGTTATTGATATAGACTGACTGTACGGTAGCTTTTGCCAGAACGGCTGAATTTATCTGCTCTTGATGTAATTCCAGTCAACGCATCCACAGAGTTTATTTTTATCAATGCAAGTGTAGGTGACTTCAAACACTAATAATACAGACTTATACTTTATGTGAACACTGCAATGCTTAAACGTGCATTCACCTGCATTGTCTTAATCCTCAAAATACCACTGTGGGCAAGTTATTATCCCTCTTCATCACTTATATTCAATTTACAGATTAATTTTTTTAAAGATTTATTTATTCATCTGGGAGAGAGGGTGCATATGCATGTGTGCAAGCACGGGAGGGGCAGAAGAGGGGGGAGAGCAGCTCCCCGCTGAGTGCAGAGTCCCCGGTACAGGGCTCTGTCCCACGACCCTGAGATCATGACCTGAGCCGAAACCAAGAGTGGGATGCCTAGCAGACTGAGCCATCTGGAGGCCCCACAAATTACAAAATGACCAAACTTCAGAACTCTAAGCAAATGGCTGAGAATCACAAGTGTTTCTTTTACTCTGAATCCTGTTCCGTGTTGGGGGCACAGCAGGAGAGCCCGTGGACCTGTGATGGTTGTATGAACAGGAGAGGGAGTTCCTGACTGCATGTGTGGTACAGGGGTTTGGAAGATTGGCGAGAATTCTCTTTCTGTGGTCCACAGACACACCCATCTCCGTGCACACGAAAGTATAAATCCTTGGCCGGTCAAAGCACTAGTAAGTGAAAGGACCTGGCAGGTTTTACTGTGGTCTTAGAAACATCTAACAGGATAACAAGAGCAGGAGGAAATAGCTAAAATGCTGTCTGGCCATGGTGATGAGCTTAAGTTTGGGAAAACTTAGTATTTGTCAGATTATTACCCTATTCTCTGCTAGGACCACCCAGGTCAGCTAGTTTTTTCCCTGACTTCCTCTTTCCTCTTAATTCATGAATATTAGGTTCTTTCCTCTCCTCAAGATACTCTTGCTTTTCTCCCATTTGTCAGGCCACTGCTTTTATCTGCCAGACGCGTCGTCTCTGCGCACAGACTGCTCATCTCCCAGAGGGCAAAGCCCCAAACAAACAAAACAGTAAAGGGGACGGCTCTCCGTGCGGTGTGGACAAGGGGAGACCAGGAATTGGGGAAGTCAGAATATTCCCAAACGTTAAGCTCCCTTTGGATCTCGAAACATTTCTCCAAGTGTTTCTCTGAAGTTTGTCCCGACCTTCTGTCCTGAACTATATCTAGTTTATGTTCTAGATATCTCCTCTTACAGAGATAGACAGAGATACATATCTCCATAGAAGTCATAGTGGTCAGTCCTAGAGGGGGGATGTTAATCCTTTTTACATATTTATCCCATCTCTGTTTTGCCTTGTGTTGTCTTGTTAGGTGGACGTGGGCAGTAGACATTACGGAGTCTACAACTGGAACATAGAGACACTCATAAGTGTCTTTTTCTTTTCCTCTCCACTTGCTAGCAGGTGTCCCCGGGCTTCTGAATCTTTATATGCGGATGGTTTTTGCGGATGGTGCTATGTACGAGTTGGGGTGTGCACGAGTCGGGGTCTGTTCTGTTTTCACAGGGCTCTCACACTACATGTCACATTTCCTTAGTGCACACAGACTAGGGTGTCTTCGCATGTTGGCTGTCAGCTTCACGGTTTCCCTAACCCAGGGAACAGCTGTGACCCTGTGGTGGAGATCCTTAAGAACCCCAACGAGACGTCTGCAAGCACTCTTTCGGGCTTGTCGGAACGACTGCCAGACTTCTGTTAGTACTCCTCATGCTTTTTCTAAACAGAACCCCAGAAATTTGCACTGAGCTTGTTAGAACTATGGTTATAAAAGGAAGTTTATTATCGAAGAAATGTAAACCATTTCTAGAGAAAAAAATCTTGCTCTTGATTTGTCTCCTTTTTATGATGCTTTGGGAGGTGAATATGTATGCTATCTTGATGAAGCCTCTTGTCTTATTTTTGCATTGTTCAAAGCTGTTGCAACCCACTTGCCTTGTACCATATCATGAACATGCATGAACGTGTATATATATGTGTACTAACGTGTGTGTATAATATGCATAGATATACATATGCACATCCGTATCTGTTTTCTGGGGTGCATATCTGTGTGCAAGGAGATGTATACATTTTTGTATGTTCAGGAAATGCTTGCAAAGACACTGGAAAAAAAGACATTTGCATCCGTCTCTAAATTGATAATGAAAATTTCCTTTTATGTCTCTCTCTCTCTATAAAGACTTCTGCCAGTAGATTTTTTTTATTTCTTAGAAATACATCCTTACCCATTGGTACTTATTTTCTGAATTCCTTTCCTGTCTAAGGACACACACTTGTGTCTGTGATCCCAGGTACGGTGCAATCGCATCAATATAAGTAAAGCTTCGACCTCCTCTGCCGGTCTGAGTTGTAAACGCAGCGTAATCCCCGTCCACGTGAGCCTGGCAGCTCCTCCTCTTGCTGCTCCAGCAGCTGCCCTGTCTGTCCTCCCTCGTGTCTCTCTCCCCATCCGCCGCCACTTGCCCTATTTCCTCCAGCTCTGCAGCTCATAGGACCTCATGGCCCTTACCGCTTTCTCCCCTCTCCCTGCGCGCCTTCTCCTAGAGCCCACAGGCTGGCCTCGCAGCATTAAGCCCAGGTGCAGCTTTGCTGTGATCTCATGGGAGACGACTTCTCAGACCCCCCCAGTGAGAGGGCACTCTCACTTTTCAGAGCGCCCTCCTGTTTTCCCTCCCTACACTTTTCATGACTGTAGTTTCTTACTTACGTCCTTACTTCTCCCCCAGCAGACTGTAAACGGGTGTAAGACCTCAGCCCTTTGCTCCCTCTCTGGTCTCAACTCTAACATGTGCCTGGCAAAGAGCCCGTGAGCGAGAAGCGGACATGCGAAGGACAGAATAGGTTGTTGGATTATCCGTTATCTGCTAGACTTTCTCCACTGTTACCTGACGGGGATTGTCCCAGCTTCTCCTTCTGACCTAGCCTCTGTGTGACCCAGGGAAACTGTCCAGCCTCTCTGGGCTTTAAGTTCTGTATCTCCTGGTTAAGGAGGTTGGAACTATATCCATGAATTTCAAAATTTTTAAAATTACTACTTCACAGCACATCCTTTCCCAAAAAAGGGGACTGTGAACATGAATTCTGGGTTTTAGAGCAGATGAGAGCTGAGGATGTCCACTGAGAGCTGCAGACCCTGGCCGGGATCGTCAGCAGATGCCTACCTCCTCCTTTCTCCAAAGACAGTTTTCAGGGAAGTTGGCAGCAAGTTTCCCTCTGGTGCTCACGACCCTCTGCATCTGTCTGTCTAGGTAACGACACACCCATCACTGCACACTTATCTACAGAGCAGACACCTTGCCAGGCCTCCACGCAAACTCACCCTCATGGCCTCCCACGAGGGACACACCATCGTCTTTTATATCATAAGCGATGATGGAAAGTGACTTAGTAACATTAGGGAAGAAGAAGGCTCAGGGCCCCCCAGCCGGGGAGATACACCACTGAGATTTAAACACATTCACCCCTATTAGTACAAAAAGAATCGGTGCCTGAGACGCACTTCTGTTTCCAGCATTTTTTAAGTGAGAAAGCTCGGTTTGGTGTGTAAGTTTTTTTACCCAGATCAGCGTGACTGATAGAAAACGCAGCACAGAACGCTGCCTGGGTGGAGGGGACTGCTGGTCACTCCCCGCAAGGCGTCCTGGGCCTACCAGACTCTTTTTTTTTTTTTTTAATTTATTTATTTTTAAAGATTTTATTTATTTTTAAAGATTTTATTTATTTTTTTGATAGAGATCACAAGTAGGCAGAAAGGCAGGCAGAGAGAGAGGGGGAAGCAGGCTCCCTGCTGAGCAGAGAGCCCGATGATGCGGGGCTCGATCCCAGGACCCTGGGACCATGACCGGAGCCGAAGGCAGAGGCTTAACCCACTGAGCCACCGAGGCACCCCTATGAGACTCTTAAGTAGAGCTAAGTGTTTAGTGTGGAAAAAAGAACAACACATACCCATGATCCCAGGACTGATTCTGACCAGCCGGGAGAGTATCAGGAGAGGCGGGACATTCTGACTTCCATTTTTATCAGCCCCAAGTACCAACTTTCAGATTCTACTCTTGACTAGTTAAGTAAATATTTCTGACAGTATTGAAGTCTTCCAGCTATGCCTGTGGCTAATTAAAATGCCCTAGTTAGCTAATGTTAATGAGACGATGTGCTATGCTCCATACAGGTTAATTCTGAACCATATGTTGAGGCCTATTTCTTTAAAATGTGCAAAAGCAAAGAAAATGGACTCAGGGTGTTGGCTGAGTGTGTGCATGGCATGGGGAGAAGAGAGGCTTTTTCTTGACCTTTATGCAGTCTGCAGTACTTTACAAATTGATTTTTTATATGTTTATTTTACTTCTGCCATAGTCTTTTATTATTTTTATATTTAAATTTTATTTTATTTTTTCAGTGTTCCCAGATACATTGTTTATGCACCACACCCAGTACTCCATGAAATCTGTGCCCTCCTTAGCACCCACCACCAGGCTCACCCAACGCCCGGCCCCCCTCCCCTCCAAACCCCTCAGTTTGTTTCTCAGAGTCCAAAGTCTCTCATGGTTCATCTCCCCCTCCAACTTCCCCCAACTCACTTCTCCTTTCCATCTCCCCATGTCCTCTGTGTTATTCCTTGTGCTCCACAAATAAGTGAAACCACATGATAATTGACTCTCTCTGCTTGACTTATTTCACTCAGCATAATCTCTTCCAGTCCCATCCATATTGTTACAAAAGTTGGGTATTCATCCTTTCTGATGGAGGCATCATACTCCATTGCATATATGGACCACATCTTCCTTACCCATTCGTCTGTTGAAGGGCATCTTGGCTCTTTCTACAGTTTGGTAACTGTGGCCATTGCTCTATGAACATTGGGGTACAAACTGATTTTTAATACACAAACAACTTTCTCTTGGAATATGGTGTTTGCCACTTACCCAAATGGTGATATTTCCCATACCGGAGCCCACTGGGTGATACCCTTCTAACTGGGAGACATGACAAACCACTCTTCTGACCACTTGAGATTCCCAGGAAAGAATCTGAGGTTCCATTATGAGTACATTAGGATTAGAGGAAGCCTGGGAGCGCACTGACTTGAATTTATGAACTCCTGAGAAAGATTCCATTTTGCGAATCCATCACTCACAGCAGAGAGATCACCCTACACTTCGATTTTTTTTAATGTGCCGTATCTGTCAATGCTATAAACACTTAGCTGATAAACAGTAATATTTAAGTCCAAATTCTTTAACAGTGATACATACGAGGATAAGATATGTAGTGCAAATATAAGTACCAAAGGGGAATGTTGATACAGAATACAGACATGAACGTAAATGATACAAAATAAGCTTGCTGTTGCTAAAAATTCACCATGGGCACCGATCAACTAACTCAACTGAGGTGTGGATAAGAGTATTCTTCGTCTTTGGCTCCTCTGTGTTTGACAAAAGAAAACCAAGGCTGTCCTCACAGATCAAGGGTCTGCTTTGCACAACCTACCTTGTGAAGGTAAAATTAAACATGGTCCATTCCAAACTTGCAAATGATAGGTTTTCGCCCAATTTAATCATCCAAATTCATCTTTTTTAGTTGAAATTTTTGGCATTTTTATAACTCTGTCACAGGGAATCATGATTTTCTTTATGACAGAATTATCTGAATCTCACAGCTACTTTCATTGTAGGAGTCATGTAGAGAAGAATAAAAATCCCGAGCCAAAATTCTAGAGTCTTTCAAAATCTGGCCTCCTCCCCCATGTGTGTGGAAGCTGCATTCCAGGCACACTGGCTCCTTCAGCATGCCAACAACAGTAATAGGAGAAGTTCTGCTTCAGCTTTGGAAACATTGCAGACACGTGAGCTCTTCAGCTGCCGGCCGTAGAGGACGCAGAGCAGCTCAGAGCTGTCTACGTTTTGAGTGGGGACTAGGAAAGTCAACGTGCCAGAATGATTCTGGCAGACCGGTGCCTTTGCAGGACGGAAGGTGGCACTGGGGGTTTTGGGGTTAGCATGTGTGCGAGCTCCTGTGCACGGTGGTGGGCACAGGAAAGAAGTTGTCATCTGAAGACATTTCTCTGTGGCTTTGGAATTTTTTTGTTCCTTCTAAGTGAACCATCTCATTTTTTTTTTTTTTAAGATTTTATCTATTCATTCGACAGAGAGAGATCAGAAGTAGGCAGAGAGGCAGACAGAGAGAGAGAGAGGAGGAAGCAGGCTCCCCACCAAGGAGAGAGCCCGATGCGGGGCTCGATCCCAGGACCCTGGGATCATGACCCGAGCCGAAGGCGGAGGCTTTAACCCTCTGAGCCACTTAGGCACCCCGAACCATCTCATTTTTTAATAATGGTTTCAAACTCACATGGTCTTTACGCGTTTGACATGTAATTGGAAATGGGACATCCAACTGTGAAGAGAGTTGATTGGAAAGCAATTAGAATTGATCTTTTTGTTTGTCTTCCCCAGGTCAAGCTGATGCCTCCCGCTCCCAGCGATGACCTGGCGACGCTCAGTGAGCTGAACGACGGCACCCTGCTTTACGAGATTCAGAAGCGCTTTGGGAACAATCAGATATATGTAAGTGCCCTTGAGCCTGCCCCGTGTGTTGCTTTGTCTTGCTGCCGATGTCTGCCCTCCGAGCTGCAGATGTCACAGGAGAGGGCTTACAGTTGTTTCTGGTCTTGCTGATAGCGTGAGGTCGATTTCTCAGCGTTCAGCTTCATTCTGATTCAGTTCTAAAGCAAGCTCAGCAAAGATCCAAATTTCAGAGCTGTTAAGTGAAAGTTAATACCCTGTGGGCTGGCGGCTTTCCTGTTGTTGAGGTTGCTGTGGAAGACCTTGCTAGAAACCGGAGGATCTGCACGTCCCTTCGAAAACTGCTGTTTGTTTCCTGTGCTTGACTTAGCCTGCTAGATCTGGAAGAGGAAGCTGAAGGGGGAGACTTCCCTGGGCTTGGAGGGTGTCGTCTCTATCTGCATGAAAGGAGTCTGTCGTCCCTTTAAATTATCAGGAAATGCTTTGTCAAGTAAATAATTTATGCACCGATCTCTGATAGCAGGATACAAATGTATGACTCAGATGACAAATAACACAGAGAATCAATCTGCTGTGCTTCCGGCCCCAGTTTATATGTGTTATTTCATCCAACATGCAGAACGATTTAGACACCGTGTCGTCTCAGTCCCCATCTCTGTCGGTCGGTCTGTCTGTCTCCCTCTGCTTGATTTTGTGATATTCAGCTGAGAGCAATTCAATCAGAACGTCTGTAGAAAAATCTGATGATGCCCATATGTGCTATTTCTTTTTGATAACACTCTTTTCCCCTAGTCTACTGAGAAATTGATTAAGTAATTTTCATGTAAATGCTAAGTCTGAGATTTGCTTATAAGAAATAAATCATCAGGTGCTGATTAGCCTATGAAAATTCAGTGCAGCATCTTAATCCTTGGATAAATTGCCTGCCACCGTAAATACACTTAAAATTAAATGCTTCTATCAAAATGAATGGGATTGAGTCGTTGGCGTAAAGTGGTGAGAGCTGATGACTCCACTCTCTGGGACGGCCCCGTTATTTGTGTGTTAGTTTTATTCCGTCTTCTCACCTTTGCCAACGTGGTGCTGATTCTTCTTCTCCTCTACGTCCTCCTCCTCCTCCCTGCCTTCTTACCGAGTTACCAGAAGGCCATTGCTTGAATTGTGTTGCGTTTCTTTATTTCCTTCATGCTTCTCCAGTGCCTCTGTCTCCACAACATCCACTTGACCTACCCTCACCCCGGTGGTCGCCGTCCTCATCCAGGCCTTTGCCATCTCTTCTCAAAAGCCTCCTAACCCTGCCGAGGGGACCTTGTTCCCTTTCAGTCTGATCTCACCAGGAGCTAGAGTCATTCTTATCATGAACAAATGTGATCTTGACACTCCCAGTCTTAGAGCATCTCTGTGGCGTGTCACTTCTCATGGGATGATGGCCGCAATCTTCATACACGATCTGGGCCCCAGATACAAGCTGATGCTCTTAACCCCCGGGCGACAGCCCTTCTGCCTGTGTCAGGATTTTCCTTGGGCTGTTTTTCTTTCCCCTAAGCTTTTCTTTCTACCCCATGGAATAAACACTTAGCTTTATAAACTCCCACTGGGAGTTCTTCAGTCTTTAAGTAAACCTCCCCAGCCCTTTCTGATGAAGTCACAATGGATCTTCTCACGGCTCGTGATGGTCTCTCTCACTGGTGATTTGATGGTGTCCGGTGCTGTGCTAGACTCTGGCTCAGTGATGATGGGATCCATCCATACTGGGTTTGCTCACTGGGAGGCCTGGTCAAGCACTTTCCAATCTCAAGGGACAAGTACTTCCTATCTGTTTATCAGAATCACAGCTCCAACTCCTCCCCACACTGGGCCATCTTCTTAGGTCGTTTCTGCCCACTGGGTTTCTCTTTCTTTCCAGATCATGCTTTGCTAAAGTTCACATCAAATGCACATTTGCCACTGCAGGAGACATGCTTTTCCTCTCTCCCACACCTGAAATATGGAAGAGCTTAATCGTCTCGGATCAATTTTGTGATGAGTGCTCTAAGCCAGGTTATTTGAACTCGCCTTTAATGGATAGACAAGTCACTTAAACATTATTGATTGAATAATAACAAGTGATTCTAAAAGTGTAACCCGTGGACCATTGGAAATATGAACTTTTTATTACCATTCTGCTGTGAGGGTAAACATTTAGAACCTCTTAGGACAAGTTGACAGTTTCATTGCTGTCTATTGAGTCTAATAAGAATCCAGGTTTGCATTTTGTAGGTCTTTGTCTTCTTCAATGCCATGTTTACAGGAATCCACTTTTATCACATTTTACAAAAGTATCAGTTCATGATGCATTGGAAACAGAAGTGTTCCGTCCCACAAATACGAAAGCACTGGTTTCAGTGGCTGTTGTGTTCAGAGATGGTCTGCTGACCTCCGCACCCACTCCCCTTACACGCCCATCCCTGACCCTCTTCCTCTTCTCCCAGGTTCAGGCTGAAGTGCCCCGTTTGAGTGTCGGGACTGATCCCTCTTTGGTGTCCCACATTTGACTCTCCTGCAAATCTTAGCAGCCCTCCTTTCAGAATGTACACAGAATGGCCCTCCACTGCTGCCATCAACCCATCAGGGCCAACATAACACTTGTCTGCTAAAGTAATGTCTAACCGGCATTTTCATCTCTTTTTGCTGTAATCTGACTAGTTAATAAGATGATCTTTCGAAAAAGTCTGTAAGTTGCCCTTTCCTTTCCTCCCCTTTTCCTTTTCTTTCCTTTCCTTCCCTTCCCTTCCCTTTCCCTTTCCTTGCCAAAACCCAGGAGCAAACATAACTTGCCCTTTTCTCTAAGTATATATATATTATTTCATTTGGATATCAGATTGTAAAGGTTCCACGTAGCCCGTAGCAGAAGGATGAGCCCAAACCATCAAACAAAATGAATTGTAAGAATTGAGACGTTTGCTTGTTAAATAATGCAGGGAATAAAGGCATTTCTTTCTCTGAATAATCACTGTCACATAGGACAGCGGAAATAGAATATGCAATCAAATTTCTTTTGGATGGCAGGTAAACGTGAGGGTAATATTCTCTTCATAACCACAACTGGTAGGACTCAACACTCGTAAAGAAAGAAACCTCCCCAAATAAACACAGGCTCCTGTTATGTCTGGTTTGCTAGGTAGGCATCTTGGCTCGGCTGAGCCACTTACTAACTGAACATTCCCCTCCAGGGGCCCCACTGGGGTATAGTAGGCCTTTTTTGTAGGGGCAGCTCAGGAGGCTAAAGTTGACCAGCTTGTGTCAGGAGCTGAAGTCTCTCTCACTTGGAGGCTATCTGAAATTAGGAGGACAGACGCATTTCCCCCCAGATGACGCTGCCCCCTAGCCTGGAATCCGAAGACACACCTGCCATATACACTACCTATCGTGCCATTCCCTGTCATTCCGCTCAAGCTTATAGACCCTTGGGAGCTCTTAACATGTGTGAGCTATTAACAGTAAAACTGTGATAGTTTAGAAAGATGAGGAAAAGGAAATCTGTAGATTCCTAAAGTAGAAAAAAAATTCTTTCTCTGCAAAACATTTACAGCATTACCTTTCATCAAAGCAACCTCTTGAGAATATGGCATAAACCTGTATTAACTCATATGTTAGGAGTCCATTGTTAACACACAGATCACATTTTTCTAGACTAATTTTTGTTGTTGCTCATCACAAAATACATTTGCAAAGACAGTCTCAGATTCCTTCAGTAATTAGATCAAAATAGAAATTATATCTCAATAGAAAAGTTCAACTTAGAAGCATATTTGGATGCGTATTTGGAAGCTCCTCATTTTTCCTTCCTTAGCAGATTTCTCCTTTCTCCCTAAGTCTACTTTTTTTCTTCATTTTTCTGAATAATTTTCAGATACTTCACTACAAAGGTTCCCATTTGGTTCAATCATTTTACTTTTCTTTTCTCCTTTCCTTGGCTACAGAATCCTGGCCAGTACTTCCATTGAAGTCAATGTTGTCTTGAATCACAACATGAAAAGAGAGTCACATACCACTCACGGGTGTGTGGTTTCATGAATTTTCATTTGGTGAACATGCCTAGGTAACCAGCAGCTTCATAAAGAAATGGAAGAGTAAGAAGCCCCTTCCTCAGTTTACCCTACCCATCACAAAAGATTTTGGCATATATAGGTACAGATTTGTTTTTTGTTTTTTTTTTTTCTGGACTTCATATAAAAGGACTCACCCAGTGTGTTCTCTTTTGTGTCTGCCCACTTTCTTTCTTTCTTTTTTTTAAGATTTTATTCATTTATTTGAGAGAGAGCACAAGCGAGAGAGCAGGAGAGGGAGAAGCAGATTCCCCACTGAGCAGGGAACCCAATGCGGGGCTCGATCCCAGGACCCTGAGATTATGACCTGAGCCGAAGGCAGTCGTTTAACCAACTGAGACACCCAGGCACCCTTGCCCGCTTTGATTCGTTGTTGTGTTTCTGATAACCATCTATCCTGTTCCTTGCAGCAACAGCTGATTTTTTACTCCTCTAAAATCAGCTGCTGTGTGGATATATCCTCATTTATTTATTTACTCTCTAGTGGAAGAACACTGGAGTTGTCTCCACTGTTCGGTGATTGAATTCTGCTGTTACAATTATGTGAATTATGTGGGTGATACTGTTATAAACCATCTTGGGCCCTTTTCCGCAACATGTGTACGCAAGTATTTCCATGAGACAGCGTACAGCTATTTCCGTGGGGCGTGAACTGAGTCTTGGAACGCCAGCGTTGCAGGTACCTCCAGCCTGAGTAAATACAATGAAACACTTTCTCATAGTGGATACACTCCCCCACAGACCTTGGTCTTAATGTTTTCCCGTGTAGACTCCCACCGCTGCATTGCCGTGGCGTCTCTGTGGTTGGAACCCAGATGACCCTGGCAAGTGTGTCTGTTACTAGAACCTGTCTTCTGTTGTATGGATTCGCCTGTGCCTAAACCAGTGCTGAGCTATCTTAATCACTAAAGCAGCGTAATAAATCTTGATCTAGAGAAGTCCTCTATATATCATGGAGGGTTAATATCCCTCCTTTCTCTGGAACATTTTAAAATTTTCAGTGTAGAAGTCTTGACCATTTGTATTAGATCTGTTTCTAGGCCTCTTTCAAACTCCGATGCTATAAGAAATGTTATCTTCTTACTGAAAATAACAAGCAAATTTCATTTTTTATGGTGTATTGCAAATATAGGGATATAATGTCATTGGGAAATTCATGTTTTATCTGCCCAACTAAGTTCATATGTAAATATTAATTTAAATGGGGATTCTTTTGGATGCTCTGCATATACTGCATATAGTATGTAATGACTTTTATTTTTCTCTTAAATCTTGACAGTTTCCTTACTCTTGTTTTATTTCACGGGATGGCCCTCTTAATAAAAAGATGATGGGAGGTAACAATAAGCTAAGATAGGCATCCCTATCTCATTTTGGATCTCAGGGAAGAGCTTTCGATGTTTCATCATTAAGCAAATTGTTTGCCATAGCTCTGCCATAGGTAGTTAAATTTCATTGGATTGAGGGAGTTCCTTATATTTATGGTTTTCAAAGTTATTATTTTTAATCAAAAGTATGCACTGAATGCTATGAAAAGTTTTTTGACTGTGGAGTCTATTTTGAGATGATCATATGACTTTTTTTCTTCACTTTTTAGTATTATAAATTACAAGAGTTGACTTACTAATATGAAGCCAACCTTATGTTACTAGAACAAATCCTAGTTGGTTGAAGCAGATTATCTGTTGAATGTATTACTGGATTTAATTTGCCAATAGTTTGTCAGGATTTTTGCATGTACTTTATGGAAGAGAAGTGCCTGTAATCTTCCTTTCTTTCGATATACTATTTAGGTGTTTTCTCTACTGTTATTTTCTGGAGCAATGTATATTTGCTCATTTTGCTTTTTTTGTTCATGAATGTTGGGAAGAATTCACCAGTGAAGTTTAAATTTTCTTTGTGGAAAGGTTTTTAGACATAGATTCAAATTTCTTTTACAGAAAAAAAAAAATAACTAGTGAGATGTTCTGTATCTTATTGTGTTGGTTTGGTAAGATGATGGTTGTCATCCACATTATCTAAATATCCATCGTGGCTAAAATGTGATTCCCAGTATCTCTTCAGCTGTTTTCATGTCTGTGTTGTCTGTAGCAATGTCATATTTAGGATACCAGTAGTTTGTGCATTTTGTCCTGTTTTCTCAATCTCGTTAGGGTACTCACCATTTTATTACACTGTTCAAAAGACCATCTTTTGACTTTCATTTCTACTCCATTAATTTCTACTGTTATACTGATTTTATTTCTTTATATTTTGATGTAATTTGATGAGCTCTTCAAAAAGTAAACTTAGATCATAATTACCAGCCTTCCTTCTTTTTTAACATTAAAAATAGCATATCAGATAATAATTTCTATAATAAGTATATCTTTGGTTGCATCTCACAAATTATATGTTATAATCAAAATATCTTCTTAAATGCATTGTAGCACCTTTTTTGGCTCATATGTTATTTGCAGATGCATTGTATAATTCCCAAACATTTGATGATTTTCTAGATATCCATTATTATAATTCTGGCATGATCAGAGTACCTACCCTATGTGGTTCATGTCCTCGAAATGTAACGAAACTGACCTGTGTTCAATTTCAAAGAATGTATATTCTGCAATTGTTTGGTAACAGTGTTGTATATGAGTCAATGAGTCACTTCGTAATTATTTATTTCAAAATTTTATCTTATTCCATGAGTTACTAAGAAAAAAATTGTTTAAAATCCCCACTGTCATTGTGAATTAATCTTTCTCCTTACAGCTGTTTTTGCTTCATATATTTTGTGCTTGATTTTAGTCTCACAGAAATTTTAAATGCTATATCTTCCTGGTTGATTTAATATTTTATCATTGTGAAATGTCCATTTATATCCCTTTTATCTTGTGTGTGTGTGAATTGAGTGTTGCTAAACCACATTTTTTCCTGTTCTTATTGTTTGCAGGTATATCCTGCTTTATCTTTCACTTGCAAATTTTCTTAATCTATAGAGATCTTTAATCTAGTGCGTAATATTCATCCTTAAGAACATTTAGTAGCTTTACATTTGATATAATTTCTGATTTGGGGGGATTTAAATCTATTATTTTATTACTTGATTTCTATTTATTCCATCTGTTTTTGGTGCTTTTATATCTCATTACTTGTCCTTTTTTAAATTAGAAAGTATTTTTATTTGCTTCCTGTGCTTTATTCATTTTTCAATTGTGCATTTTATTTTTATTCTGTAGCAGCATAGAACTCATTACCACATTTATTTCCTTCAGTATATTTTGCCACATGTTTTGATTTTATATTTTTTATTCAGTCTGATTCTCACAAAACCCCTTTAAGAAAAGCAATTCTTAGAATCCTGTCATTTCACTTGTTACATGTTTAATGGAACAAGCATATATGTTTTATTTTATTTGAATTTGACTTTTCTATTTCCTTATTTATAAACTTTATTTACAAACTTTTAAAATAGCTCACAAAATGTTAAAGTATGGCCCTTATTTATTTTCTATATTATGTACAGTGATTTTAAAGTTATATCACTTTTAATTTTAATGTTCTCTTTATACAGTCCCCCAACTATTTCTATCCTTTTCTTTTAACAGACTTTTATTGGAGATATCCTCTTGCTTGTTAACCCGTTCAAAGAGCTTCCAATTTATTCCACGATGGTGAGTATGAAATTTAAAATATCATTTAAAAATGTGGAGTGATGCTCACCAGACATACCTATTCGCATCAAATGATCAGTTAAGAAGAAACCCCAAAACAATAAGTCAAACTTCTCAGAAAATTCTAAATTGATATTTGCATAATAATGACTTTCATTTGTTCTGAGACAAAAATGGAAAAGAATGTAATCTTATCAAAAATGCCTTTGCACTTATAATGTGTCATTTTACTCCAATTGTAGTTACTAGACAAACTTCTTAAAATTAAATAATACATTACTCTACTTTCCATACCTTCTTGACTAATTCAAGATTGGTTGGCTTACAGTCCTTATTTCAATATCATCACCTCTTTCAGAAAAGTTTTATGAAGTTAAAACAATGAAAATGAGAAAGGACAATATAGAATTTTATGCATTTTTCCAAATGACTTTCCACTTTCAATTATGAGACTTCCAAAATTAAAAGAGAAATTTCTTTTGGAAAATTATTCCAGATAACTGAAAACATGACATAATTTTCGAGTAGTAATAGATCAAGAACATCATTGTGTAGCTCTCTACTTGTGTGTGTGTGTGTGTGTGTGTGTGTGTGTGTGTGTGTGAGCACAAGCTGGTTCCACTGAAAGCGGAATCCGTAGTAGGGAGCAGGAGCATGACAAAGAGGCAAGGGGAGCAGACATGTGTTTCTGAAGCAGGGACATGCTCTTAAGTACTGTGGGGGAAGGTGGCAGGAGAGAGGTTGGAGGGGAAGGGAGAGAGAACACCTTCTTTAAGCTCCCAAGGAATCAATGAAGAATTCTGAAGAAACCTCCCCTGAGACAGAGTGCCCACTCACTGTCCTAGCCGCAGTCCTTCTTGCCAAAGTCCCTTGAACTGTTGCTTTAAAACTGCTGCACTGGGGCATCTGGGTGGCTCAGTGGGTTAAAGCCTCTGCCTTTGGTTCAGGTCAGGGTCCTGGGATCGAGCCCCCCCCCCCATCCGCATGCGGTGCTCTGCTCAGCGGGGAGCCTGCTTCCCCCTCTCTCTCTGCCTGCCTCTCTGCCTACTTGTGATCTGTCTCTGTCAAAGAAATAAATGAAATCTTTAAACAAACAAACAAACAAACAAAACAACTGCTGCACTTTGCCAGGTGTCCTCACTCCACTCAGGCCCATCCCAATCTTAGTCTTGGGCCACCTGAGTGTGTGGTTACCTATTGGGGCAGTGCAAGAGCAGTCACCAGTGGTCATCTCAGGAGTTCTATCAGAGGAGTTCAGCCTGAACTGTGATGATGAAATAGGCATGCACTTTTTGTATTTTTATTTTTTTTTATGTCAGTTCTTTTTTTTTTATTTCTTTTTTTTTTTTTTAAGATTTTATTTATTCATTTGACAGACAGAGATCACAAGTAGGCAGAGAGTCGGGCAGAGAGAGAGGTGGGGAGAAGCAGGCTCCCCATTGAGCAGAAAGCCCGATGCGGGGCTCGATCCCAGGACCTGAGCCGAAGGCAGAGGCTTTAACCCACTGAACCACCCAGGCGCCCCTTTATGACAGTTCTTAATAGTTTTGTTTTACAAGGATTCTGTTCATTATATTTAATCTTCCAAAGTTTGGAGCATATAATTATTCATGAGTCCTATTTATTTTTTTAATGTTTGTAGAATTTTGAGTGATTTCTTTCTATTCCCAATGTTGGTCATGTATGCCTTCTCTGACTTTTTAAAATCAACTTGCTAGGAATTTCTTGATTGTATTAATTTTTTCCAAGAAAACATTTCATTACTTAATTTTTTTCTACTATATATTTATTCTCTGTGTGTTTGATCTCTGCTTTTTCTTTTTATTGTCTCCTTCTTTCTAAGCTCTTCGAGTTTCATTTGATAATCATTTAAGTTATATAGTTATATTGCCAATTTTCTGCCTTGTATAAATAAATATTTGGGACTTTTAATTTTGCTTTAACCACAGTTTTCTACATTTTTTTAAAGATTTTATTTATTTATTTGAGAGAGAGAGTGATAGCAAGAGAAAGCATGAGCAGAGGGGAGAGGCAGAGGGAGGGGAAGAAGCAGGGTCCTTGATGAGCAGGGACCCTGATGCAGTACTCCATCCCAGGACCCTGAGATCGTGACCTGAGCTGAAGGCAGACACTTAACTGACTGAGCCACCCAGGTGCCTGAGCTTTCTGCATCTTTGATGCTTTCCAAGTTCATTATTCTTCAGTTTAAGAGAGACAGCTATAGAAAGAGAGAGAACCCCTGCTATTTCAAACTGCCTATTAATGTGTTGTTTTTGGCTTCTATCTATGGTATTACATTGGGTCATAGAGTCAAAAAGAATCTTATGTTGAGACAAAAGGCAATTTTAGATATTGCATAAAATATGTACATATATAGCTATTATATAAATGCTTCTATAGATCTAGTGGTCAAATTCTGAGGATTAAGGAAAATGTAACATAATGAATTCTTTTAGTACAATATTATTTCTCATGTTATATTCTATTTCAAATGGAAAAGACTGATTTTCTGGTTTCTTCATTTTTAGGGTATCAATAATGTAACAGTTTTCTGGCTTCAAGTAACGTGTTGTATTTGCAGGTCTTTCAGGAATACTTGTTAATAGAGAAAAGGAGAGACATTAAGAGACATATTTCTTTATTAATGTAGGAATAAAACATGATGCAATGAGATTTTTGCATGAATGGTTCATTAAAACTTAAAATAGTGAATACGACATATAACTTACATGTATCATCCTTTATACCCATCAATTCCAGTGGAGGCATAGAATGTAGGAGGCAAGATAAATATATTTGAGTAAAATAATGCACTGATAAAAAGCTTACAACAAAACTGCTCACTTTTAATAGGTCATAATGAGATTTTACTGTGTTTGGTGCTTTTGGAATTCACTTCCATTTTGCAGAATCAAATAGTTTGCACTTTCCTGGTCTACAAGTAGTAACTCGTAATATAATCATAGATATTGGGCCGCTACACGGACTTCATTCTTAGGCCGAATTGTGAGCATCCTGTGTAGCATCCTTAGTACCTTGTGATTTTATGTCTGTTCCTCGCGTACTGAACCACATCAAGTTGTCTCGCTGTCCTGTGGACATACAAAAGAAATTTTCACTTATTTTTATGCTCAGAAATTATGTAGTCAAGTGTATGCTTATTATCTTAAATAACAAATTCTGTTCAGATAGTTTATTTTCTTCCCTCATTAGTTAAATAAAAGAAGAAACTGAAACACTGAATATGATTATATCTGTAAAGATTACATAGACCAGGAGAATGACTTCTGTGTTTCATGTTGAAAAACAAATCCATGAGCATCATCTGTAGCTCACTTTAATTTTGTTACCATTAACTGTGTTATGTTAAGCTTTGCATAACATTCATTCCATAGGAGGCCATTAATCATGGATGCAGAGCCTCTGCGTTGAACTGCATTTTGAGACTAATACAAACACATGTCAGGAAGCAGCCCTCTCCCAGAGGTGGTTTATAGCTGTAAGCAATGTTGATGTGATGCGAACAGTCACTGAGGGGAGTGGCACCCAGGGGGCCAGGAGGCAGACAGTTGTAAATGAAGTATACCCAGCAGGGAGGGGTTCACTTTTGTGCTCCCCATTTATGTTGAAGGTGAGCGACTTTGCTTATTTTAAATATGTAAGGGGAAGGGGAGAAGGAGAAAAGAGAAAAGTAGCCAGATCTTTCTGAATAGGCTTTGCGAAAGAAGCAGTGTTATGATCAGGAGCAAGAATGCTTCAACAAACCAAGAAACATTTATTGAGTCCATTAAACACAGTATGTTATGTTAGATATTTGGGGATGCTAAGTAAGCTTCTCCTCATCCTTAAAAACTGCACTGATATTCTAGAGATCATGCATAATCAGATTTCCCTTGTAGATGAGGACAGTAAGATAGCTGTATTGAGAATGTACACTATCAATTGACAAGTCAGAATGTTGGAGGGAAGGAGGTCTTCCCAAGTTGAGACAAGCATTATTTGGAAAAGCAATGGGATTGTTGCAAATCCTAAGGAATGAGTAAGATTATGGTAAGGGGAGAGGAAGTATACTTTGAAGAATTGTCTAGAGTCACATTATGGGGACCAAAAATATAGGATCATTAGAAGATGGCACAGACTAATCTTATAAGAACAAGAAGTTCAAAAAAGTTGAAGAATTGAAAATCTGGTTTGGATCTAGACTATAAAGCTAAGTTAGAGAGTTTGAGTTTTAATTTTAGAAAATAAAAGCTCACTGGGAACAAACAAGTTCAATACAAATAGTGTTTATAAGTCTTTTGCCATCAGTTTGAGAACAAGAGGCATTTAGACAGGAAGAATAATTAGTAGGCACTGAGATAATTCAAGAGCAAGCTTAGTATGGGGACTCTGGTGGTAGTGGGCAGAAGTTGAGGGAGTTTCTGAAAAGACACTAAGAACCTGCAGAGAATTTCATTTGAGGAACAAATAAGAGAAAAGGCATCCCTTGAAGATACAGATTTTGAATCTGTGAGTCTAGGAGAATCTATAACAAAAAAAAAAAAAAAAAAGAAAAGAAAAGAAAAATTGATGAGGAAAAACCAGGTTCAGGTGAATGTACAGTGTTTGGAGGTTAAATTGAAATGTAGAAGTTCTCCCTTAGATGCAAGATTAGGAGTAATTCACATAGATATTTCATTTTAGGAGATTTCTAGGAGTCACAGCAAGTTTAAGAATGAGGTAGAAAAATAAAAGAAAGCAATGAAGGAGGAGGAGGAAGAGGATAGGGAAAGAGGCAGGGGGAGAGGAAGGGAAGAGAGATGGGGAGACCACAATGACAGGGTAGATGGCTGCCATTAAAGAACCAGGTCTGGGGCGCCTGGGTGGCTCAGCTGGTTGAGTGGACTTCGGCACAGGTCTTGATCCCAGGATCCTGGAATGGAGCCTCGCACTCTGGGTCCCTTTCCTCCACCTTACCCCCCAGGTAAAGGTGCACACTCTCTCTCTGTCAAATAGGTAAA